TGCGGTGGAGCGAGGCAGAGGGAGAGTGCAAAGATGGTCCACAGCCTATGTTACCTGAGCCTCTAGATTGTGCCAAACCTGAAGGCTGTCTCTCAGTCTGAAGCTCCTGCCTTCTTACATAGTCAGCTGTTGGTGCGCTCCCTTGAGGAATGATGGCTTGCCAAGAACTTTCTCTCTCAATACAGTCCTGTGGGACTCAGGAATGCAAGTCCCCCTTGGTCACCAGAGCCAGATCAAGGGGCATTCTCTGGATGGCAGCTCCCAAAACTGGGGCACCAGGTGTGTGTAAGAGCTTTCTTCTGAGAGATATTGGTGCTCTGGAACACAACAGTGGCAGAGTGTGAGGATTGTGCTTACCCTATAAGGTCTCTGGAAAGAATTATAGTCAGGTCTTGGAGGTATGTTCACTTAGAAGCCTGCCCCTCTGGCTGTAGCTCTCACACAGAAACAAAGAGCTCTTGGGCCTGTTGCCTCTTACTGTGCTCTACAGGTACTAGCTGTTTAAGAACTTTTTCTCCATTGGTTACGGTCCTGTGGGATCTGTGAAACTAAGTCGTGCTGACCACCAGAATCCAGGTGATATAAAGATGTTCTTAGGCATCATCTGCTAAAACCTGAGCACCAGACAAGGGTATAAGATCCTTTCTGGGAGAGTCCAGCAAGCAAGGTAGAGGGAGAGTGAAGAGATGGTGTGCGCTGGACTTTGTTTCTCAACAGAACCTCCACAGGCCTGTAATCAGGTGACATACATGAAGCCTGTTCTCAGGCCAAAGCTTGTGGGAAAAGCAAGTAAAGACTGTGGGCATGTTGCTGTCTGTCAGGGCACCAGGGTGGTAGTCTGCCAAGAATGGTCTCCAATTGTTACAGTCACATGGGATATAGGAATGCAAGCCCCCTGACCTCCAGACCCTGATGATCCTGGGGTGTTTCCTGTGCAACAGCTACATAAACCAGGGTACTGGACATGTGTAAAAGCTCCCCTCTGAGAGATACTGGTGCCCTGGGGGTGCGGCAGAGGGAGAATGTGAAGATGGCGCTTGCCGGCCTCCATTCCTAGAAAGTATCCCCAGCCGACCCCTAGATGTGTGTTAAATAAGATAATCCCTCAGGCTGATGCTTTAAGGCTAGCAAATGAGCTTCTTTCACATGACCTGTCCATTGGCTGCTTCTGCTCTGGGCCCTAAGCAGGTGATTCCAAGCATGGGGCCCTTTTAAGAATTGTTTATACTTTCCCTGTAGCCTCTTTGGTTTTCAAAGGTAGATGTTTTGCAAGCTCATCTCTCAGGTGCAGGTCTTAAATGCTGGCGAGTCTGATGTGTGGGGGCTTAAATAATTCACTCCTCAGGGAGAAGCTTTAAGTTTTTAGTTCCCTCCCGTTTATGGTTCTCTGTGCTGGGGATGAGGTTTATGGTGAGATTGTGTCTCAGCCTGTCTTACCTGCTGTGATCCATTTTTTCCCCCTTGTTTGTCCAATATATGGCAGTTGCGTGGTTTCTAGGTTTTTGTTTGTTGTTGTTTTTTTCTTTTTTTTTTTTTTTTGAGAAAATTGTTCCATATGTAGCTGTAGACTTGGTTTATCTGTGAGAGGCGGTATGACCTGGGGATCTTCCTGCATTGTCATCTTGAACCAGAACCTCGCTGGGTAACTTTAATGGGCTAAGAATAACTTGCAATTGTACAGGATTTTGCTACTTTTCCATCTCATTTGAACCTCACAAATACCCTTACTATCTTCTCATCTTGCAAATTAGAAATCATAGGTGCAGAGAGGTAGATGACTTGCTAAGGTCGTGCAACTAATGACGTAGTTGTGTCGTGGTTGATCCAGGACTCTTTTCACTGTAAACCTTGCCTCCCTCTCATTTCAGAGTACTTATTTATGTCATGCTAATTCAATTAGAGGATGCAGCAGCCCCACATTCTTCAGTGACAAATGAAAAAGTGTCTTTTGCAATTTTCTTTTTTTGATTATTTCTTAGTTGAAGAGGCATACACTATTTGCCCTTTTCAAAGTACTTTTGGTAACAGCTATATTAAGGAAGGTAGCAACATGTGCTGAAAAGGCTACTGAATATGCTACCACTCTGTGTTTAATAAGGGTGGGGGGATATATATATGCAATTATGTGTTGTGTGGCTAGAGATGGGTGGGAGAGGGGCATCCGTGTCACTGTAAGCCCTTTACTATTGCTCGATTTAGAAAAAACAAGGATATTTGTCATTTTTTAAAAAAATTAAATGACAGCAACACTAATGACAAAATAATGGTGAAAGTACGTTTAACTCTATGGCTGCAAAGCAAAATTTCTGAGAGGTTCCTTAGACTGAAAGATTTTACCATCAACCTTGCTCCCACACGTCATGAAAGACTTGTGCAGTATTTCAGCTACTCTGAGGCAAGAGTGAAGAAAAATAATCAGTGGGAAATAAGACCCTTGGAAAGGAGGCAAGTTTTTACTACCAATCATAAACCAGTATTTGCATAAAACACGAAAGAAACATAAGAAGTTTTTCAATAGATTCTTATATTTTCCCTCTTGTTAAACTCTGAAGGACTCCCTTACTGGGTTGGGTAATAAGTATTCCAGACTTCTTTCTCATCTACTGTTAAAAATCTCTCCTCCATTGTCATGTAAATTGTTCTGCATTGTATTAAGTTGATATTAAAGACTGCCAAAAAAATCTCCCTCATTGCCAACCAAAGATCTTCACACCTCTTTTATTATTTCCAATGCTGTAGGTCAGGTTCTAAGAGCTATTTGAAAATAGAATTTTGATTGTAAATACTTCAGTCACCTTGAAATTCAACTAAAATACATTTTGATTGAAAGGCAGAATTTTACTTGGCCTAATTGCTTAACAGAAAGAGGACTTTCAAAGGCAGTGAAGAAGATCTGGCCAACAGGGTTAAAACAAATTTTAGAGAGCTAAATTTCAGGGTCTCCCAAGTCCAGTTCCAGCCCCTTTGTAGGGATGCTGTAAGAATCGATGAAAAAGGGTTAACCATGTTTTGTCCTTTAAAGAAAACCTCTGCATAAGTAACAAGTTAAAATCTTTTATCCCGTGATTGTTATTCATAGGAATATAATCTTAGAGTAATATCACTGTGGAAAATAGCAGGGCTGCCATTTTCTCTATATTCTGTGGAATGGTGGAATTAGTCTGTGATCATATAAAAATTTATCTTGCTAGCACTTGGGAAGACAAATTAGAGTGAGGATTAGCATCCTAGTGTTAAGTTTTGAAGTTAAGTTTCTAGTTCATTATTGGGAACTAGAACAACTTAGTCAATTGCTCATAATGACAACCACATACAACATATACTGCGTAGTATCATGAGTATCCAAAACACAAAACAGATCATAGTGTCTGAAGCAGCCCCATCTAACATCCAAACCAATCCTAGAGTTACCGTATGACTCTTAGTGTATATCCAGAACAACTAATAGCAGGTACTCAAATCCTCATACACAAATGTTCATAGCAGCACTATTCACAGTATCCAAAGGTGAAAAGTGCTCAAATATGAATCAACATATGAATGGAAAACAAATTATCAATATATACAATGGAATATTATTCAGCCATAAAAAAGAAAGAAGTTAATTACACATGCTACAACATCGATGAACCTCAAAAACATGAAAGTAAAAGAAGCCACACACAAAAGGTCACGTATAGTATGATTCCATTTACACGAAATATGCAGTATGGGTAAATCCATAGCAATAAAAAAGTAGACATGTGGTAGCCAGTGGCTGCAGGGAAAGGAGGAATGGGGAGTAAATAGGCAAAGGGTATTACTTTAAAGTGATGAAAATGTTGGAATTAGAAGGAAGTAGTGGTTGTGTAACATTCTAAACAGTACTAAATACCACTAAATTATTCACTTTAAAATGGTTAATTTTATATAATATAAAATTTTAGCTCACTTAAAAGCTTTTTTTTTTAACTTAGGCATTAAATTAAGGCATTTATAAATGCCTCATTTTTCATGATGAAGTAAATTTTCATTTTAAATCAATAAAGAGTCATTTTATGATATTTCAATTCAAAACATACCCATTCACCAACCCATGGCTCACATGCTGCTTCCCTTAATGAAAATGTAATTTATAATTTCACTTAAAGCACAATCTCTCTCCTTTTAATTCTGAACTGTTACCCATCTTGTTACAGCCCAGTTTATCCCAACCACAGTTAACACAACATGAATTTTTTCCATTATAATGACATACAAAAAAATCCCTGCTGTTTTAAAATGTAACTCCTCTCTCTCCCTCCAACATTTATACAAGTTCCAGAGACTAAAATGCAAAGAAACCAAGGCAGTTTTCAGAGTGAGAAACTATAGACTTAACAAATTTTAAAACCTATTATTAGATGAGGTTATTGGACCAATTACAAGACATCTGAAAGCAGTGGTCCAGAGCCACAACAACACTTTAACAGTTAAATTATACAGTGAACATAAAAATCATTTTTTCTTAGATTAAAAAACCCTCAGATATATAGTCATATTTAAAAGTGCTTACAAGTACATCCATCTTTTAAATCTAGCAATCTGAGGGGCGCCTGGGTGGCTCAGTTGGTTAAGCATCTGACTTTGGCTCAGGTCATGATCTCATATCTCATGAGTTCAAGCCCCTCATCGGGCTCCGTGCTCACAGCTGGGAGCCTAGAGCCTGCTTCGGATTCTGTGTTTCCCCCTCTCTCTGCCCCTCCCCTACTTGTGCTCTCTGTCTCCCAAAAAATGAATAAATGTTAAAAAAAAAAAAGCTTAAATCTAGCAATCTTACATATAGAAATTTGATCAATAAGGTCAATGAATTAGGTTTCTGCCCATGTGTAAGTACAAAATATGAACACTTAAATATTGTTGTGTTGATTTTCAAATCATTCTAACTTGGGCTCTGCTTTACTCCTCCAACTTTGCTTGTGAATGTTTTGTGCTGATGGAATACATTTTTACCACCAAAAAGAAAAACAGTCTATTCTTACCATAATTAAGAGCTTCTGGTGCTGTCCATTTAATGGGAATCTGCTTTAAGCCAGAAGATGAATACACTCCACCATCCTCTTGACGAGACATTCCAAAGTCACTGATTTTCAGAACGTTATTTTCACCTACCAGGCAGTTTCTTGCAGCAAGATCCCTAGGTTACAATAAGACATGGAAAATACCTATTAAAACAAATTGAAAGCTGCTTTCACATTTATGACTTCCACACTTTGCATTTTTTACATTTGCAATGTATTTATAATGAGGTTAAGAATGCTTGTGATTTACCAGTCCTTCTCATCTTTTCTGTCATAGGAAAAAATCACCAGTGAGAATATTTGCATAGGGAACAGGCCCCATGCTAATTTGCTAGGCACTGCATATATTTCCATTAAATAGAAAAACACGGATTCTAGGGTTAAGAGAAAAATCACAGGAGAGGCTAAGCAAACTTGGCATTATTTCTCATTGGACTGTTTTACATAACTTTCTGTGATGATGAAATATTCTCTATCTGTGCTGTGCTGCCCGATAGGTAGTCATTAGCCATGTGCGACTATTGAACGCTTGGAATGAAACTTGTGTGATCGAGAAACTGAATTTTTAAATTTACTTTCAGTGAATTAAATTTAAATAGCTGTATGTCATTAGATAGCCTTTGGTTGTTGTAGCCTTAGAGCTTCCCAAAATGTAGAGAATGGCTGAGGTGCCAAGACAGGCTGGGGACTCTTTCTCTTCTGACTGCATTGGGGACAGCCAAAACTCTGCACGATCTGGCTCTGTCTCTTCCACCGCATCTTGTTCCATTCTACATAATTTCTAAATTCTACCCATACTGGGCTTCTTTTTGTCCTTAAATGCAGGACAAGTCCCTGAAACATGACAAACTTATTTCCACCACAGGGCCTTGCAGATAGCTGTTCCCTTCGTGTGGAATGTTTTCCTTTTAGGTTGTAGCATAGCTGACTCCTCTTCATTCATTCTTAGCTCAACTGCCCTCTTCTCATAGAAGTCTGTCTTGACCACTCTTAACTGCTAAAGAAGACAGCAGTGAGCATAACAGATGAAGTCTCTAATTCTAGTGAGAAGCCCTTCAGTAATCAAATCCCTATATGTACCTAAATGTTTATACATTTTTATATATGTATATATGTAGAAAAGGTATATGTATGTCCAAATATGTACATATACACACAAAGAAAATCAGATAATATGTCAAATGGTGCTGAGTATTAAGAAAAAAAGTTTTATAAAGGGAGAGATTTACTAGAGTGAATCCTATTTTAATTTTTTAAATTAGTTTTCTTTATTTTTGAGAGGCAGAGAGAGACAGAGCGCATGTGGGGGAGGGGCAGAGAGAGAGGGAGACACAAAATCGGAAGCAGGCTCCAGGCTTTGAGCTGTCAGCACAGAGCCCAATGCGGGGCCTGAACTCATGAACCGCGATATCATGACCTGAGCTGAAGTTGGATGCTCAACCGAATGAGCCACCCAGGCGCCCCAGAGGGAATCCTATTTTAGACAGGCTGTTAGGAAGGTCTCTGATAATGTGATATTTGATCAAAGACGTGAAAGAAGAAGGAAGCCATGGGGATATCTAGAAAAGCATTCAAGATGCGATAGATACAAAGACCTTGAAATTGGTACAGGCTTGGTATATTCAAGGAACACTAAGGAAGTCAGTATAGCTGGTGTGGAATGAGTTACAGGGAGACACTGGTAAATTTAATCAGGGGGTTAGCCAGGACCAGATGATGTTTAGCTTTTTCATAGTTAAGTTCCTCGGATTTTATTCACAATAAGCTAGGAGGTAACCAGAGAGTTCTGTACATAGGAATGATGTGATCTGACTTACATTTTGAAGGGCTATATCCTATTGTGGGGAGAATGGACTGGCAGAACCAGAAAGGAGACTATTTCAGAAGTCTAGGAGAAGCAACAATAGCCTGCACTAAGATGGAGTCAGTCAGATTTGAGATATATTTGAAGAGTACAATCAACAGGATTTGCTAGTAGATTGGGTGTAGAATAGGAGAAAAAAAGAACCATGATGACTTCAAGATATTTTGGCCTGAGCACCTGGAAAGATGGAACTGACATGTACTGAAATGGGGAAGGTTAGTGGGAGGGCTGAGGACTAGATTCACAAAGTTTGGTGGAGCCAGCCAGTTGCCTCCTACTGTCCATTTCCTCCTCTTTTTTAGTAAAAGAATCCCAATTTTAGCTGAATCTATTGTCATCCATCTAAAAACTCGTGTATTTTCCAACTTCTCCTGCAATGAGATGTGGCCATTATCTAAGTTCTGGACAATGAGATGCAAGCAGAAGAGATGTCCAAAATATCTAAGAAATGTCTTTAAAAGGACGAATTCTCATTATATTTCTCCCTCCTGCTAATACAAAAAGGAAGCATACTGACGTTGGGAAAGCATCAGGAGATAAGGGGTCTGGGTCCCTACTGGAATTAGAGAATGCTTTCACCTAGAGACTGAGTGTAGAGAGGAAATGAGGTGTTCAGGGACTAAGCCCTAGAGCACGCCATCATTTGGTTTGTTGTTTTGTAGGCTTCCCCTCATTTCTCTTGTAGCTTTCTCCTGATGTGGACTCCAGTCACACAGTATTACAAGGTAGGCAACATCAGTGTCTGAAAAGTAATAGAAAGCACATATTTGTGCCCTGAGGAACTAGGAAAAGAGGTCCTTGGAAGTGTAGGGAAAATCATAGAGGTCAAACAACCAAGAGAAGAGGATTACCTGGTTCCATGTTTGAACCCACACAAGTCTCAGGCTGAGCCCTAAGCAGCACATTTGATGGGCAGACCTGAGCCCATTTAGAGAACTAAACTCATTTAAACCACTGCCCATGTCTCAAAGTCATTCGTAAATGTGTCACACAGGGCAAACCAAAACACAGGCTTTGAGGCAGTAATTGTGATTTGAATCATTAAGAGACAGAATTTGCAATCTGACCCTGAGTTGATTGCCTGCCAAAACAAAAAAAAATCAACAATCTCCTGCAGAATTATAACAGGGATTTTGAGCCCACACAATGTAACATTCACAGTATCTAGGGCACAATTCAAAATTGCTAAACATACAGAAAAGAAGAAAAATGTGATCAATTCTAAAGGGAAAAGCAATCAACAAATGCCAACATGATAGTAACCAGATATAAAGCAACTATTATAACTATACTCCATAAAACAAATGAAAACACATTTGAAATTAATAGAAAAGCAGACAATCTCAGTAGACAATAAAAACTGTAAAAACTATAGAAATATAGAAACTTAAAAATAAATATCTGAAATGAAAAATCCCTACATAGGATCAAAAGGATACTGGTGATAACAGAGAAAGAGTCAGTAAACTTGGAGATAAACCAGTGCAAAATACCCCAGCTGAAGGACACAAAGAGAGGAAAATAGAAAAAATGAAAAGAGAATCAGGGACCTCTACAATATCAAAAGACTGAAATACATGTTATTGGAGTCCCAGTAGTACAGGAACAAAGAGACTGAGGCAGAAAATCAGTTTAAAGAAATGGTGACTAAAGAATTCCCCTATTTAGTTAAAAGAATTACATTTGCATGTTCAAGAATCTCTGTGAGCTCCAAACAGGATAAAAATCAAAGGAAAAAAAACAAAAACAAAAACATATACACATACCCTAATCAAGCTGCTAAAATCCAAGGAAAAGAAACCCTCTTAAAAGCTGATAGAGAATATGACACATTTGCTACAGAAAATGATTCAAATAATCACATATTTCTAAAAAAAAATTATGGGGGCAAAAGGCAGTGAAATAACATCTTTCATTTCTTAAGATGGCAATTCTTCCCAATTGATCTATAGATTTAATGTACACCCAATCAAAATTCTAGCAGATGTCTTTGTCAACCCAGAATTCCATAGCTAGCAAAAATACCCTACAGAAATGAAGGCAGAATAAAGACATTGTCATATGAAAGAAAGCAGAGAGAACTCATTAACAGCAGATCTACTCTACCAGAAACACTACAAGCAGTGTTTCAGGCTACAGGGAAATGCAAGAAATCTGAAATATCAGGATGGAAGGAAACACAACAGGAATGGTAAATTTGTAGGCAAATATAGATTTTTTTCCCTTTTAAATTCTTTAAAATGTGACTGAATATTGGAAATGAATATTGTAGCATTATTTGACCAGGTTTTCAATGTATGTAAATGTTACACATAGGACAACTACCAGATAAAGGTTGGATGTTAGCAAAAGGACCCATACGGTTGCAAATTTTCTACATTTTACATGAAGTGATACAATATTAGCTCTAAGTAGTCTGTGGAAGGTTAGATGTATGCGTTGTAATCTATAGAGTAACTCCAAAAAAGGTGTAAAGAGATAAAGCTAAAACATCAAGAGATCAAATTAAACAGAATGGTAAAAAAATATTCAAACATTATAATAGTCAAAAAATCAAATATTCAAAATATCAGTATCTAGACTAAAAAGTGGTTATTACTACTGATTCTATAGACAGAATAAGATATAGATAATAACAGTTCTATATTTACAAATATAAATTTGGTATCCAAAGATATTCCCAGAAAGCAAATCCAACTCAGATGGGTTGATTAGTAAGTTCTATTGTACATTCAGGGAAGAAATAACAAAATTATGGAAACCTTTTCAAAAAAAATAGAGAGTATTCTCTAAATGATTTTATGAGACCAGTAGAACTATAATACAAAACCTGGAAAAGATACTATCAAAAAAATTACAGAAAAATACTCTCATGATGCCAGAAACAAAGTAATGCCAAATCAAATCCAGTAATATATATAAAAAAGATAACATGTCATGACCAAGCAGGGCTTATCCAATAAGGCAAGGTTGGTTTAACATATGACAATTAACATAATTCACTAGATTGACAGAATATAGGGAAGAAAACCCCATGATCATTCCAATTGATACAGAAGAAGCATTTGACAGCATTCAGTATTTGCTAATGATAAAATGTTCAGCAAACTGGAAAGACTAAAGAGCTTCCTCAACCTGACAAAGAGCATCTACAAAATATTCAACCACCATATAATACTTAATGGTGAAAGACGAAATTGCTCCTCCTTGAGATCAAGGCAAAAATGCCTGCTTTCACCACTTCTATTCAAA